CCCTTGATAGAAAAATAAAATAAGCTTCCAGACCTTCTCTTCTCAACTCCAACCACCCCGGCCTTCTCCTTTCCTTTCCTTTTCTATCCTTCCTCCTTCCACTCACGCCAGCCACACCCAAAGCCAACTGCAGCTGTCCCAATCTTTTCCTTCCCAGTCAAGCTCCTGCAAGCACTCTCAGGCAGTCCCCGCTACAATATATTTTAATGTTATAAGTAAGAAGGAAAGAAATGAACATAAGTCTCTTAAAAGGATGTTTGTATGAAATGTCAGCCATATCATTTGATGTGTACTACAGGAATATTTAAGAACTTTGGGAAATGTACACGTTATAGTAATGATACTGATGGGCAATAATTATGCTTTGGGAGTTTTTGTAAACCATCTTCAGGAAGCATTCCAAGGAGCTCACAAAATTATTGAGATCTGGCATATTCTCAGAGAGGTTTTTCAATATTTGTTATCCATGACAGAAAGATTTTGATTCTTTATATTCAGAACCAGTAGATTTCTAAACACTGCTTGGTCAGAATTCTTAAAGCTTGTAAACGTTAAAATACGTAAATTTCGAGAGAGTACATTTTTTTTGAGAGTTTAGAAATATCTCCCATGATACTACACTGAAACCTAAAGCAGTGATTTTTTTAAAAAAATAAAACTTTATAGGTTCCAGCACGATGTGGAGTAACAGTCCGGGAGAGTCTAAAGAAAGCTCTGATGATGCGAGGTCTTATCCCAGAGTGCTGTGCTGTTTACCGTATACAGGATGGGTATGGTTTGATTGTAGTATGGCTTTGTGGGTGGTGATCACTTGAGAGAGAAAAAATGCTAAAGGAGTTGTTTCCAGGGGTGTCTGAGAATATTAGCTTTCAATATTTCAAAGCAGGCGCTTTCACAAATATGAGAACTCCCCAGTACCAGCTGATGAGATTGTGGGAGGGCAGATGGTAGGAGGAGAAGAACAATTCATTCTCTGGATTCATTAGTTGATTTACTGGAGGATGGTTCAGTGTGATCTCTCCTTTACACTGTAGTGTAGCAGCTTCCAAATTGTTTCTCTCTCTCTGGTTTTCTGTAGAGACTAATCTGGCACTAAACTAATGCATTTTTAGTTCTGGAGGAAATTGTCATTTGACCAGAATGAAGCTTCCTTTAAAAAAAAAAGGAGCTATATTAAGTTTCTATGAGGAGAGGGCTGGGAAATAAACACTAAATATTTGGTATCTCCATCTTCTGATAAGCACATATTCATTATTAAGATTGGAGTTTAGAAATTGCATTTAACCTCAAAGAATTTATTTACGCTGTAGGGAAAAGAAGCCCATTGGTTGGGACACAGACATTTCCTGGTTGACGGGAGAAGAACTACATGTGGAAGTCTTGGAGAATGTGCCTCTTACAACACATAATTTTGTAAGTCTTCTTCTCTTATAATATCTGCTGTTCTTTCATTGACTTCCGCAACTTTTAAAAATCACATTGGTCTTAATCTTTCCAAGCAAAGTATTTATATTCTTTGTGATAACTTTTCCAAATTGCAGTCACAGGGCACTCATGATCTTGTTTTCCAGTATCAAAGTGTTCTTGAAACATAATCATGGTTCACACACTCCAGTTGCTTAGGATTACACCATGTGGTTTACAAACCACAATAGCTAACTTCAGCCAAAACAAGAAGGTTGTGGTAGAAAAATCATACTATGACCTAGCAGGCTAAGAAACACAAAGAAAACTAATCTTTGAAAAAAATCTTGAAAATACCTAGGGAAATAGACATGTTGTCAATGGTTGTCTAAAAGAAGGAAAGTTGAAGGTGTGTGCTTCTTTTGGTAGGGAGTTCCATTATCAGGTGCTGTCACTGAGAAAATCTTACTTCTGGCCATTATTATATTGTAAGTTGTACCCACCAATAGAGCTATCAGGAAGGTCTTTCCAACTAACTAGTGCATGAGTTGGATAGTATTTGTGAGAGAAAATCTTTAAGTATTTGATACTTAAGTTCTTTATAGCTTTTTAAGCTACATCAACACTTTAAATAGTAAAAAAAAAAATCAGTACAGCATTTTCTAGAACTACCTGGTTTTATTTAACTAAACTTTGGAAATTGTTTTTTCTGCAGTAAGTCCTACAGAATACTGCAGTAAAGAGTGTCTAAATTTGAGAACATGCCGTATTCACCATTTACTTAAAAAAATGAATCTATAGATATAACTTCATATAAATAAAACTTAAACATTCACAGTTGTTAGAAAATGTATTAAAATGTGTAGAGGTTGGTCCAGTTTTTGTCCAGTTAGAGATTTATTGAAATATACAGTTAGGCTGCATTTTAAAAAAATGTCACTATTCTCATTATTTTTTACTTGTTTAAAATATAGAGTTCTATGTGAAAAATACTTTACATTAATATTGTTGTTTTTAGAAGAATCAATAAAAAATATTGTGCAAATGCATCAGTTTAACTTTTAATACAGTAAATATTGATAAATATATACAAACAGAGTAAAAAGTTTAAGAAACATTGATATAGGTGAAAGTAATGCATTTGGAAAAGCATTGTAAATATAAATAATAAATCGCAGGAGCTAATATTTTTAAAGATATGAATCCTTCATTGTAATGCTTTTTAAATCTCTTTGTTTTAACCTTTTCAGCTGGAAAAAGTTAAGCCATTTTTAAATACTGATTCAGTTAAAATACATTTTTTTCAATATTTCCTGTTATTAATCTGAGAACTAATAACAGGAATTGGGTCAGTTTCTTATGTCTTCATTTTGTATGCTGAATTAACAGCAGAATTAATTGTGAAAGATTGTTGGATGATTTTTCCCAATTTCTTTTAAAATTTGCAACCAGAAGGACTCCCTAATTAGAGATTGTCACACTTGGTAGAAATAGGTACCAATTTGCTTGCAATCTGGCTAACATAATCTAGAGGTACTATAATTTATAGTGTTTAAATTTAGCAGAATGTAATTCTGCCTCTGCATGATATTCAGGTCAATTCTTGATGATCTGCAAAAATTTTATATCCCTAATCCTTACCTGGTTCCCTGACAATTAGATTGTATTGGTTCAAGAGATAATTGCAGTTTAGACAGATATATTTAAAATTACACATGGAATCTCATTTTGTTTTCATAAATATTTGTATATGTATTTATACATACATACAGACACCCACACACATAAATATGCATGCTTTAATATGCATAAATTAAAGTTCTATTTGGTGTTTAGAACCCATATGTCTAGTTTAATGAAGAGAAGGACGAGGGGGGACATGATAGCAGTGTTCCAATATCTCATGGGCTGCCACAAAGAAGAGGGTGTCAAGCTATTTTCCAAGGCGCCTGAAGGGTTTCCTGCCTGAGCAGGGGGTTGGACTAGATGACCTCCAAGGTCCCTTCCAACTTTACTACTACTACTACTACTACTACTACTACTACTACTACTACTACTACTACTACTACTACTATTATTATTATTATTATTATTATTATTATTATTATTATTATTATTATTATTATTATTATTGTGATGGCTGCCTCTTTACAGGGAAGTAGAAGGAAATAGGCCTAGGCAGAGTTACATTAGAACAAAAAGGAGCAGTAACAACATCTGTTTTTCCATCATTGTATAATTTCTTCAATGTCTGAATAAAACTTCAGCAGTTAAACTATTTTAACTGAGTTATTTTGAATATGTGATTTTCTTCAAACTTTGATCCCATTTTCTTTCATAAAATACCTTGTATTAAAAGAGTAGAAAGTCAGAACATGAACTTGCTAGTTTAGGCCTGAAGGCAAATAACCAATTAGTGGTGAGAAAAATACCTCATTATCTTGTGTGAATGAAAATTGTACTTTGCTTTAAAATGCAAATATTTAATGATAACAATACTTCTTTAAGCAAGTATACTCTAAAGTTGTGTTATCAATAATAGTGTCAGATATTCTTTTATGTTTCTAAAGCAATTTCCCTAACCTGATGCCAATGGGCATCTACTGGCAGGAGGAAAGAGAGGGCCTAATACAAATTCTTCCTTTTAAATACTTCTGTGTAATATTGCAATACAAGTACGAAAGGGTGAATGTTGCACTGTGCCATCATAATGGACTTTTCATAACTTTGGTGTCATAATACTTATAGATAGATGCTTATGTTCTCTAGAAGGGTTAAATTATAGGTCCTAAAATTCCCCTAGTCAACATGCTCAAAGACCAAACTAATTGGAATTTTTGGAGTTGTAGACTAATACACCTGATATGTTCTAGGTTCTGAGTTGTTGCTTTTAGTGTTTCAACCACAGACTATGATCTTCACAAGTGTACTATTTATAGAGTAACATTGAAATGAACCATAATCAGAATAAAACGTAAACAGTTCTTCTTTGGTAAGATCATATTTAACAAAATAGGACTTTATCTCTTGTTTTTTTGATGGCGTAGGTACGGAAGACATTCTTCACTTTAGCGTTTTGTGATTTCTGCAGAAAGTTGCTTTTCCAGGGATTCCGTTGCCAGACTTGTGGTTACAAATTTCATCAGCGTTGCAGTACTGAAGTGCCACTAATGTGTGTGAATTATGATCAGCTTGAGTAAGTAACTGGAACCCCTTTGCATTTAAATGCTCTGGCCCTAAAGCATAGATGTTTGACAGTGCAGAACTCTTGGAAAATTTATTGAGATATGTCCTCTGATGATGTCTTTTCCATAAGGAGAGATGTCTGCAATATAACTGAGAGCCAGTTTGGTCTAGTATTAAGACATCAGACTAGAAATCAAGTTCTAGTCCTATCAGTCACTCTCTGTCATCCCAATTTATTTAACAATTTATTGTTGTTGTGGAGAAAACAGGAGGAATAAGGAGTATTAGATCAGCTTGTTGACTTGAGTTGTTTATAAAAATAATAAAGATGGGATATAAATAAAACAATACTAAACATCTGACTGACTGCGATGAATCATAACAATAAAAAGGGTTGTGCAAATCTAATTTAAAAGGGATCAAGTACAAACATGTTTTTGTATCATAAAAAGATTTATATTGGACCCATTCTACTCCAGCTATATTTCATATGCAGTGCTCACAAAATCCAAGGCAGACAAGTCCATAAAATGTTGCGTTCAATAAAGTGTGAATTGCTAGACCAATGGTTGTCATTTGAAAGTCTTTGTATAAAATAGGGTTACATTGGCAAAATTCATTTATGTAATTATTTATTTATAAAATTCCTATCCTGCCTTTATTCACCACATCAAAAAAATAAAAGCATTTAAAACTGTTGTGGCAGAAAAAGCTGAGTTTTAATACCGGGTTAATATAAATACGGAAAAAAGCTTAATTTTTATTCTTAGAGCACAAAGATTTGTTATGAAAAGAATGATGTCTTTTCTTCAGATTAATTTGAGGAATAGTCTTAGAAAATCAGAAGCTGTGCTTAAAAAACAAAATGTTTATTGATGGTATTTCTGTGATTTAATAAGCACAGGTATACAGAGAAACAATACCGTAATTAACTCATATATCCATTCAGCTGCCGGCTTATTCTTTAGCAGAGGGGATTCCTTTATTTTATACATCTTGTTCTCCATGAAGCTGAGACCAATAAATTATTTTAGAGACTTGTTCATTTGGCAAAAGAGAGCTTTAAAATGTGCATGGGGTAATTTATCTCCATTACAGATGTAATGTAATAGTTTCTTTCTCTTATGTTATTATTTTTTTCTTGCTCCACAGTTTACTTTTTGTTTCCAAATTCTTTGAACATCATCCAATACCACAAGAAGAGACCTCTGTAGGGGAGACCACACCAGCATCTGGATCATACCCTTCAGTGGCCCTTTCAGATTCTTCTGTGTACGTTTTTAAATCTTGGCTATTCTAATCATATTAAGATGTTATTTATAAGTTGCCCTGTTCAAAATCCTGTTTTGCATCTTGACTTGGTAGATTGTGGTTTGCTACCTTTGTATTTAAAAGTTGAGCATCTTATGCAGAATTGGATTGAAATTGGGGACTTTACAGAAGATTGGTGTTTTTGAAAATAAAATCTCAGGTTGCAGGAAAAAATGGGTTAATACCTCTCCCTGAACACCTAGATGCCCTCTCCCAGGATTTCATGCAGATGTTGAGTAGGATAGGGGAAAAGACTGAACCTTTAGGCACTCCATACCAAAGTACCTGTGAGTCTGACCTCTTCCTACCCCAACCCACCCCAGTTATCAAGTGCATCTGCCTGCTCAGGTAAGAGCAGAACTACTATCCCTCAACTCTTAACTCTTGTAGGTAGTCCAGAAGAATACTGTAGTCAACTGTATCAAAAGCTTCTGAGAGTACTAGAAGAAAAGGAGTGGTCACAGTATCTCTAACTAAGCTCTCTCCAATTGCAGTTCCACTCCTTTCTCAATAACTAAGTGATAGGGAGTAGTTTTCCGGTTTTGTTGCATTCAGACCTGACCTCCGCCACTTCCCCTTCTCTCAAAGAGTTGTTGATTATACCCTGGATACAGTTTCTACATTCGTTCCCTGCTGCTTTTAGTAACCAGGTGGGGCAGGGTTCAAATTCCAAAATAGCAGAGCCAAGATCACAGAGGTCTTTGCCTACCTCCTGGGATCCTCTCTCAAAAGTGTGAACGTTTTAATTCACCAAAAGTTCAGCCAGGCCAGCACCACTTAGATTGATTGGATTTTCTCAACCATCCTTCCTCTAGACTGTTTTGCACCCTTTGAAAAGTGCAGCTGCTTGACATTCTGCAGGCACAATAAGGATTGAGGAGTAATTACACTTCATTGTTTTTATTGTTACAAGGTAGGCTGTCATCTGAGCTCTTGCTCATGTCCAGCCTTTATATTTGTTTTTTGTTTTCCACCAGCATCACTCCAGGTGTCTCTTCACCCACTTTGTTTCCTGGAGGCCCAAACAAGGCGATACACCATAGACAATTTTATTGAGCAGCTTATTTGCCTCATTGCTGGCAAATTCCAGAGGTCAACAATATGCCCAACAAAATATCCTTTCAGATCATTGGGAAATTCCCTCAAGCTCTTTTAGAAAGGCAGCTGGATCCATCAGATGATTCACTTTAATCAGCCCTGCCCCCTTGCAGATATTGGTTAGATATTGGGCTTTTTTAATACTTTAGCGTCCATCAGTTTACCATTTATCTGTGTTTGTTTCTTTAATTCTGAAGTAACCACATAGCAAACTTCATAATTACTGGTTTAGATCTGTTTTTTGTTTGGTTTTAAATTCTTATTAAAAGAACTTAATATGCCTCTGTTAAGCTGTGCTAGAAATCTGACAAATGCTGTACACATTTTTGTATAGGATTATTCTCCTTAGATTTCCAATACTTTATTAAAGGGAAATCAACCCTATTATTATTTTAATCCTTCCTTTAATAAGAACCGTTGGTGGCTGTATGAACACAATCATGTAATATGCTTAGCAACAACATGGAAGTGATTTTCCATTGCCTTTTTTTAGATCATTTTTACTTACCAGTTCAATCTGTAATTTTATTATTTCTTTAAATGACTCCGGTCCAAATACTAATACATGCAAACATACACACACTTCAGTCCTATCATTCAAAAAGGGCTATGGTGATCTGAATCACAACTATGTAGAAGAGGAGTGTAAGGAAAGAAAAGCTTGATTTCAGCTACCTGCTATTACTGTCTCTCATACATGGAATCAAAGATCATATAATATATTGGCCTGCTGAATGAAATAGCTAAGATACAATTCCAGTTTTGTTTTGTTTTTAAAAGTCCTCCTATTCCATACCTAGTCAAAGTTACAAGTGACATTATATGTCAGTTATGGCTTTTTTTCCCCAATATGAGCTTTATCTCCAATCAAATGCACCACTTTGACAATCAAACAATATTTGATTTCTGAAGAAAACTGTCTAAGACCAAAAAGTGTTTGCTAATAACATCTCTCTTTTTATCAGAGAATGCGCAATATTTTTTATCATATATGTTCTCTCCACCTTGTTCAACAAATCATATTAATCACCAGTAAAACCCCTCAGTAACTTCTCTTTTGACTAATGTGTGCTTTGGTTCCACATTTTGGACTACTTCTAGTAAATTTCATGTCCCATGGATTTGTATTTTACATCTATGTATATCATATGCTTGTAAATATTTGTATCTTAGATTACAAATGCAAGAATATTGGTGTATTAGGGCATCCTATATTTAAAATCTCTAGTCAGACAATTGAGCAGGTGAAGGAATAAGTTTAACTTGCACTGGAGTGTTCGCCAACTGTCTCAGTAGTACACTGGTCAAAAGCCTGTAAAATGAATGGAAGGTTATCCAAAAGATGCTTTTTCACGAGGCTCTGAGCTGAAGAAGCTTCTTGGATGAGAAGCAAAACATCTTCAAAGGAAAACAAGAAAGTCCAGTTGCCTCGTGAAAAAGGATCTTTGGGATAACTATGACCTGGATGACTCAGAATCTCCATAGACATTTCGCATGGCAGGTTCTTACAGTTGCTGTGAGATTCGGATCAGAGGGAATTGTTTTTGTCACAGCTGTAAAATGAAGCCCTGCAAATCTTATATATATATATTTAATGTCTTCACTTTCTCAGCCCACCAATTCTCCCCAGTCCATCTCCTTCAAAATCCATTCCAATACCCCAGCCATTCCGACCTGCAGATGAAGACCATCGAAATCAGTTTGGTCAACGTGATCGCTCATCATCTGCCCCCAATGTGCACATCAATACAATAGAGCCGGTCAATATTGATGTAAGTTCCAAACTAATCTTTGTCTTTATAATTAGTGTATTTAATCCTTTATCCTGAACATCTGGAGACAGGTGTGTTAAGAAAAATTCTACAGACACTTGAGTACTTTCTTCCAGTTTACAAATAAAATCTACTTGCTGTTTTTCCATAGTGGCTGTGAAAAATGGAAACAAGACTTACTAGTCCAGGAAATGATCACACAGACATACACTCTCACCAGCCTCTGAACCTGAGAAGATTTAGCCACATACTGTACATTGCTAGAATTTAAGACTACTTTAGAACTCATGTAATCATTCTTAGTTTCTTGCATATATTAAATTGTTAAACAAATACTATTTAGGGATCATATATTGCCTATACTGTATTGATACTAATAGATCGTGCTGTTTGAACTCCCTGAATTTAAAATAAGATATTGATTCTAAGGGTAAGTTCACATGACCTGTTTTTAAATTACAGCTGGCTCTTTGATAAATTGTGGGTGATGACATAAATAAGCAAATAGGTCAAATATGTTTGCATGTAAACTATCAAGAGCCTTCAAAACAGAGACAGAAAATTATAGAAAGAGCATTTCCCTCCCAAAGCTGAATAAATATAAATAGTATAGATATAGTTCTAGACAAAGACTGCAAGTATATCTTGACATGGTGAATGTCTTTTGATACATCACATAAGAATCACATTTTTTTTATTTACATAACTTTCTCTAATGTAATGTAGCTAGTGAGAACATAGGAGTTCTTTGAAAAAGTAAGAGTAAAGGGCTTACAGTTGATTGGCATTATTAGATCTATCTCTCCCCAACTTAACTGTTGCTTTTATTTTGCCTGATAGTTCAGTATTATTAAAAAGCTTGCTACTTTTCCATTAATGGAAGTTGGTCCATATGCTAACACCTTGGCTATTTAACACTGCTAATGGATGGTCACTGTTTCCCTGTATCTCCAATCAGTAGGCTTCATTTTCCACCTTGCATCTCTAAAACAGTGTTTAAAGTATCTATTAGACCTAGCCACCCTCCAAATTGCTGCTTGATAGTTCATTTCCAGACCCAAAAAAGCTCAAGCAGCCTTTATTGGAAGCTCAGGTATTGGCAGATAAGGGAAATGTTTTATAGGTTGATGGTGAAGTATCCTGTATCTTTGCAGCTGCTTTCAGTCTGCTTTTCTTAGTTAAAGGAAAGAGAAAAAAAACTGTGCTCTATCACCAGTCCTCCTAATGACAAGCAACATACATAACGCATGAATAAGGTGCATATAGTTTTTGTTTTTGGTTTGTAGGACTTGATTAGAGATCAAGGGTTGCGAGGCGAGGGAGGTAAGTTACTTTGTTCTCTTGCACACCCAATACGTTGCTTTGCCTCCTCCCCTTTTATACAACCTCCTTTTTTGCAAAATACAGACACGGGAGAGAAATTATAACTAATGCAATGAAATTCATTTGCTTGTCCATGACATTTAGCGTCGTCTTATAAAAAAAAAAATCACCGATTCACATTTCAATGTGGGTGAAAGGAAGATGGGAACAACATGCAAAGTGGTAGCCAGTGTTTTTTAAAAAAAATAAAAAACAAAACAGATAATCGGAGATTATAGAAGTTAACAGACCTTCAGCTGATCCTCTTTCTCCTTTTGCTATAAAAAGCTTAAACCTGCCATGTTGCCATATTAAAAATAATTCTTTGTTAAGAAGTCTTGTCAGCTAGCACAATTTCTAAATCAACCACTTAAAGAGTATACAATAAGAGCATCTTAGAAAAATACCTGTATTTCTCAAAAACATAACAACTGGAGATATTATGTACATTCTTGCTGAAAAAGAATTGGGTATTGCCAGGTTACTAGAGTGTGTTCATGTATACACATACATATACTCCATATCTTTAGATAAATTCCATTATTTAAACTGGCCAATTAATCAATGAAAAACTACTGAGCAACTCTTCAAAGAGACTCCCTAGCAAGCATTATCATTTGCAGGCGCTTATCAAATAATAAGCATGCAGGAAAAAGAAAGATATGCTTATATATTCTGTGTTTTTAATCTGTAGAATGATATGAATGACATTACGAATTCATTCATCTTTAAAATGAATGATGAATGTTAATTAATGCAGATGTCCTCAATCCAGTCATCATGTTTCTGGCCCCTCTTACTGTGATATGTTTAAGAAATGTGAACATGTATGATGCTCCCATACTCTAAGAATGTACAGCAGTCTTCTCAAGCTTGGCATCTCCAGATTGTAATGTCAGGATCCGTGATCAGTCAACGCTGGAACTTTGCCAGTTTGGAAAAAGTTGCTTCAATTTTTATCATCAGGTCTAGTAAAGAGAAATGTCTTTGGCAAAAGTCATAACTGCAGAAATGTATATTTTCCCCACCATGTTACATGCACACTTTTGGTGGATGTTGCTGCAATAGCTACAGATCCTGTTCAGGATAAGCTTCATTTAATGCTTTGACTTGGCTATTATCATTTGAATATATGGTGCAGGCTGTACCGTGCAGTACAGGAAAGCATGTGTCCTTAATCAGCTGGCCATTTTGCTTTCCATGACGTTTGTTTTCTTTCTTTTTTTTAATACGTTTGCAATCTAAGCCTTCACTATAACATTTAGTAGAGACTCCGTTTTTAGTCAGGATTTTGTTTCTTCTCCATCTCCGCTTTCCCAGTTACCTCTAACAAACTGGCTACTACTTTGCAAATCTGAGACTGCAGGTATGATTTCAAGCTATGAGTGCTGCCCATTACATTGCCCATTTGACAATTGCATATGTCTAGGGAGCTGTGGCTTTTGGAACCGTTTTGCCCATTCTGTCCAACATTTAAGTGTTGTGTACTAGTATGTCATTTTAAATTCTGGTCAGTAGGCTCTCTTTGGGGTTTACCAATTCCCAGCCTTTTGAATATATGCTGTATTTTGTTTTTCAAATGGAATCACAAGTTTCTGCCCTGCAAAATCATAAGCAGTCTGTGCATAGGAGTCTAAGCACCTCAGTTATGTCCCATGACTTTCATTTCTTCTGTGTGTCTGTCTTCCTGTCTCTGCCTGCCCGTCTCTTTCTCTCTAACAGCCCCTATGAACCAGCTGATGCGCTGCCTTCGGAAATACCAATCCCGGACTCCCAGTCCCCTCCTCCATTCTGTCCCCAGTGAGATAGTGTTTGATTTTGAGCCTGGCCCAGTGTTCAGAGGTAGTTGGGCTCTTCTTTCTCATTTTCACCCAAATCAAACTAAATAAAACCACAGATGCTGTTTGTGCCTCACCCTCACAGCGTGTGTATGTAAGTGTGTGAGTTTTCAAAACATTATCATTTTTATTTATTTATTTTTGGCTTAGCCTGGCTGGAATGCTTTGAATGTGCTTTTTCACGTAATAGTCACTCACTCTTATTAAACTCACAAATTATTCTGTGTTAAACATTGTCATAAAGCTGCTGGAGCATTACGTTATAGAAATAAGGTTTTTTAGATCTTCTTTCAAAGTATTGCTTGTTTTCAAAGTCTCGAGTTACAGTATAAAACGAGGACAGGACAAGTCCTGCAGATAATTAACATCTATGCAAAACTTCAGATTTTTCTGAAGTAGGGTTACCAACTGACACAAAACGGGGAGGGGGATCAAATTGGCCAGATTTCTTTTTTAAAAAGCAAATACTCTGTAAGATAAAACTTAGGCCATTTTGCTGGCTCTCCAACCAATTAATTCATAGATCCTGAAATGAACTTCAGTACAGAAATTGACAACTCTACCTGGATTCCAGCAGGACCATACTGTTGTGCATGATCTTGAGGCTTTCCAGGATTTAGGAGTAGATTGACATTCCTGATTTTCTTGTCTGTCAGTTTTAACTTAATGCTTGAGCAAAATCCTATTTAACACTGTCTTTCAGAAATCTGTTGCAGAGCTAATGATTCTGGTAGCAATTTTGTTAATTATCTGGAATATGATTTACTTCAGTTATATATTACCGCTGTGACTAATCTGTAGATTAAAAGGATATATCATAATGTGTAGGATGGCTCAGCTAAAGTCAAGATCAGTTTAAGAACTAAATTATAGTAACAGTCCACATTACCTGAGATTACTGATATATAAAAAAAACCTTCTGGGCAAAACAACAGAACCACAATTTAGGATTAGAATTAGACACAGAAAAATCTTCCTCCCTTTAATTGAATTATAGTCCAGAAATTAAACTGAAATATAAGATATTGATATAGTGATGTATTGTGGTGCATCATCACTGCAATACAATTTGTACAAAGAAAGATTTGTAAATGCAGTTCTTCAATTTATACAATTTATTTCCCAGGAAAGTCTATTCGTCTTTTTAGTTACATAATTAAAAATAAATAAATGCCTTTTAAAACAAACCAACTTAAACAATTAAACCAGGAACAGGTATTCTTTAAGCATACTTTCTTGTTTTGTCAAAGATAAAAATGTTTCTGGTTTATATTATTGGAAAAGATACTACTTTGTTTAATAAATTAATATAAACAGATTTCAGCTACTGTAGTCTTTATTTACTGGCATAGTTTTAGTATTTAAATATCATTTCATTAACACAGCATCTTTCAGAGGTCTTGGGGCTCTGTCTAAGAATTTCCAAAAAGTGGGGCCCAAGAATGATGTCTAAAATTTTTGGTAGTTATGCTCTCTGGACATCTAGAAGATGCTCATTTGAGGAAAACTGGCATAGATAAACATGTACTGTATCTTATTCTAACATTTATATCCTTTTCTCCATGAAATATCAGTATGGCTGCTTAGGAAACTAAACTTGTCTTCTACATGCTAGCTTAAATGACTTGGAAAGGAAAAAGAGAAATATTCTTCCCTACCATACTTTTAAAATTTTAAATTCCAGTAAAGCCTTTTTTACAATTATAAAAAGCATATTCACCCACACACACACACACACACACACACACACATGCAAATTAACAATTGTACAGCAACAGGATATATTATTGAAATCTGAAAATATCTGGGGAGAAAGAAAGCTCCCTTTCTTTGGGAAAATAGGCTAAAAGAAGTTGCAAAAAAAAGGGAAAGAAAACCAGTGAAAAAAATAGTTTTCCTAATATTCAGTCATAAACATAAGAGAGAGGTCTTAGGTCTTGATTTTTTTTTTAAAAAAAAATTCTGCTTAGCTCCTTCAGTGTGGGCCACCAAAAATGTCTCTTCACTATTGTCTTAAAATTTACATTATTTTCTTTTAGTACACCTAACTTCTTATATATTCCCCTTTGGCATAAATGCTTTAATAAGGAAATAAATAAAAACAAGGAAAAAGTAAAGTAATATAACAAATAAGAACCCTTTTAAAACAGTGTAAAGAACTATACAGTTTTCAGAAGTTGCTAAATTATAAAAAGATACTGAACCCAGTATCTCTTTATAATTTAGTAACCTCTGAAAACTCTATAGAGTGCAGATTTGTTCTTTCCTCTTTTGTGAATTAGAGTCACATTCTAACTCCACATGTTGGTAAACGTTTTATAATTAAATCGAGCTAGAATTGCACACTGTAATATTTATTAAATGCACCTGGTTTGCAAGACTTAATCCTTATGCTTAATTGTCTGTTATGTTTGGAAATACTGCATCTTTTACACAATTTTTGCAATTACTGTTTTTTTGTGAATTAAGTCAATGTATTTTAGTCCTTAAAAACCTGGAGCTGTTTTTTGACCTTTAATTACAAATGTAGGCTCAACTACAGGATTGTCTGCTACACCACCTGCGTCTTTACCTGGATCTCTCACTAATGTGAAAGCATTACAGAAATCCCCAGGGCCCCAGAGAGAGAGGAAGTCCTCATCATCTTCTGAAGATCGAACTAGAATGGTAAGAACAGAATTAGCTTATTGAACCAGTACTCATTTTTGATTCACCAAGTAGGCCTAGTTTTTTTATCTCTTAAGTATGGATAGGAGATCAAAGGGGCCCCACAGCCTTTCCTTCTTTGTGTATGCAAACTCCCCTGAAATGTTCAAGGCTTGATGTCCTATAACATGGTGTGCTATGCTTATAAAATGAGTTTGCACTAATCGGGGCTTTTAAACAGGATAAATGTAAGGCCATTTCACATTCACCCAATTTGTACTAAAAAGATTTACAGAACTATACACTTTTCTTGCAGAAAACCCTAGGTCGACGAGATTCAAGTGATGACTGGGAGATACCAGATGGTCAGATCACAGTTGGACAAAGGATAGGCTCTGGTTCATTTGGGACAGTCTATAAAGGGAAATGGCATGGTATGTAACTACAGCAGCAATTATTTTTCACCAAAAGTATTTAAAACGATTATTGAAACTTCAGCAGATTTCTTTGTGTTAAGAATTTGAGAACCTATAATTCTTTTTTTATAGATTTTACTAATTTTTAAAAATTACAATCTTTAGAGCTTAGTAAACAACATGTTGTCTGGGTTCACATATTTAACATTATCTTCTTCAATATAAATCTATTCAGTACGACACAATCCAGTATTTTTTCCTTGATCTTCCCTTCTTCCGCATATTTTTCCCTTTTCCCCTCATTAAACAATTACAATTCTTAGTACTATTGATGTATACAAAATTATATATAGACATCTTCATCATATTTTACTAATATTATAGAAATAACAATATCAATTCATAAGTCAATATCCTGTTTTTCATACTCTTATTAAAGTTTAATTTCCCATCAGTATTTAAAGTATCTTTGTCAGTTATGATTTTCTCAATATTAATTACATTTATATAGCTAAAAATTTTTGTTGATACCAATCCTCCTCTTATTTTCAAATTTCCCATATCAAAAAAAGAAAAATAATGCTATTTTAATTCTAAATCATTTCTTCCATTATAAAAATCTAGTTATATCTAAGGTTCATCCGTTCTTTTAATCATATTCAAATAGGTTTATTAAACAGGTAGTGCCCCCTCTGATAGATCAAATCCTCTGTTTTTTAAGTCTAACTCTCGCTTTCTTTCTTTGCTAAGCAGTTTTCCAGGCCAAGGCAATTAAATTGCCCAAGAATTTTCTTCCTATTTTTGTGAAGGCTGCTTGACAAGAGAAAGACACTTTAGGTAGAGTATTTGGGGGTGGGGGGAGAACTCCGCTCATCCACATTCCCTAGAGATTTCCCCTGCCCGCTTTATGTTCCATTTTCTAGAATTTTCTTCCTTGTCATCAGGTGTATTTTGGAGAAAGGAGTAAAGGGTCTTTTGTATTTTCATTGTTATAGGTAGGTCTTGCAGTATTTTATTTGTGTATGGTAGTCCATATTTCGCTTCTCCTATCTCCTCCGTCTCTAGATCCATTTCTTCTGCTTCACCCTCTGATTTCTGGTTTATTTGTTCATACTTTGTAGTCATTGTTTGGGAGCTTTCCAGTTGTAGCTTCAATTTGGAGATTTGGTCCTTTATGTCATCTAGGTTATTTTTAGTCTCATTATGGTTTCTTTTTATGTCCTCTTTTTGTGCAACAATTGTTTGATGAATTTGCTGTAGCATCGAGAGTATTTCCTTCTGAAAGATATTTGTTTTTTCTTGAGGCATCATTCCTAGAAATCCTCTAGTATCACCAGTCTCAGTAAGAGTGGAATAAAATTTCCTCTAGTTTTCTGGTCTTTATATATAGCCTTTATAATCCAGTCCTAATAGCAATTTTTTATAGTAATCTTTTGTCTCAAGTATCCTGAAAATTATCAGTCAGGCAAGGTTGTAATCTACAATATTCCAAGTGTTCAAAATGTTCAACCTCCCTGCAGCCAAACGTATTCAAAAGTCAAATTTTTCTTTCTCTCCCACTAGCTCTTAAGATTAAAAGTCCAAGCTCCATGGGTATTTATAGTCCAAGAAGGTCAGGATGATAAATATGCCAAAATATTTTCCTTTATTGCCAGTCCTTAAACTGAAAGTTACCAAGCAACTAAGGAGCTAGTTATAGTGCTGAACTCAAATCCACCACTAGATGTCATTCAAAGTCCATTTTCCACTCTTAAAACAAAGGGTTGATTTCTTATATTTCTTATATTTCACCTCAATAATATTTTTTCCAAAGAGAAAAACTTGACAATTATTTCAGTTCTTAGATTTATCAAAACTGTAGCTTTATATTACTTTCACTTCAGTATTGTGTATTTCTGTCCCCCATAAGAAATTTAAAACGCCGCTTCCGTTCACATCCGGATGTTTTAAGCTTCTTGGGAGCCTTTCCCAGGAAATTCAGTTGTAAAATAGTAAAGAAAGGATCAATATTCTCACCTAGTCCAAGCATGCTGTTTACAATGTGCTAATTAAAGCTTTTGTTCTTTGGTTGTCAGCAGCTAATGGCCGGCCGCAGAGGTGTGGCTGGTCTTTCCCCTGCCAGTTTAGAGGATTTTCCTTGGATCGAACAGAGAGACCACCATCTCTCCGTGATCGACAAAGCACCCCTCCTTCTTCATCGCCTCTTCAGGGCGACTTTAGCTTCTTTTCAGGGCCTCAGAAAGCTAAATCAGGTGTGGAAGGCAGAGCTCTGCCTTCCTGCATCCTGTCTCACCGCGACGCAAAACCAGAAGTCTCTTGAGAAGCTATAATTCTGAAAGTTACCAAAAATATTTTTATCAGATATATATACTATCTTTTTGATTAACATGCATTTGTTAAGATCCAGATATTTTTATTTATTTATTTGATTTTTATTCCACCTTTATTTTTGTTTACAATAACTCAGCATGACAAGCATACCTAATACGTCCTCCCTTTGTTTTCCCCACAACAACAACCCTGTTAGGTGGGTTGGGCTGAGAATGACTGACCCAGAGTCACTTCGCCAGTTTTTCATGCCTATGGCAGGACTAAAACTTATGATCTTCTGGTTCCTAGGCCAGCATCTTAACCCCTAGACCAAACTTGCTCTCAATGATATTTTAGTTCAATGCCCAGGGCAGTACCTATTAATTATATGATCCAGTTTACAAAGTGATTCGCTCGATCTGAATGGTTTACTGAAACCCCCCATTTCAATAATAGTTAATAGGTACTTAACCACTACACTGGCTTCTGCTTTTCTGGTTAAAGAAAAAGTTGCAACAAATATTCCCATGGTACTTTGAGCTTGTTTCTTGAGCAGCTATTTTTTGTGCTGCACAGTAAAATCGCATCAAAAATGGAAAAGGACTTCATAAAAGGTTTTCCGTGCAAGAAGAGAACGACAGTCAGAAATCTTAAGTGAGCCTTCAGTAACTTATTTTTTTTTCATTAGCATGTATTGTATAATGAAACTTTATGGGACAATCAGTATTGCCCTGTTATATATAAACACTTAATCATTTTATGAGTGGCATGCTTAACTCACTTTAATTTTTGAGCAAAACATCCATAGTTCACTTTTTGAAATTCTTTTTTAAGGTGATGTTGCAGTGAAAATGTTGAATGTTACAGCTCCCACCCCTCAGCAGCTACAGGCTTTTAAAAATGAAGTAGGAGTTCTCAGGTAAGATTATATGAATTATATACAGATGACACAACCAGAAAAACCATTAACTTTTAGGAATTCGTTTAGATAATAACAATAACACTTAGACTTATATACTGCTTCATAGTGCTTTACAGCCCTCTCTAAGCAATTTATAGAGTCAGCATATTGCCCCCAACAATCTGGGTCCTCATTTTACCAACCTTGGAAGGATGGAAGACTGAGTCAACCTTGAGCCGGTCAGGACTGAACTCCTGGAGTGAGCATTGAGTTAGCCTGCAGTACCACATTCCAACCACTGTGCCACCACGGCTATTAATCTGAAGTGACCTCTGCCTTTCCTGCCCAGTTGCTTCATATATGTACTCCTTAATAATGGATCTTGTCCTTCTGGTCCATCTTTTTTTTTTTAACAAAGAATTGAGGGGTGATTGCTCAGATATTTTACTAAAATGGGGCTACTTACAACAAGAAGAAATGGGTTTTATCTCTGGATGGCTGACCTTTTAAAAACGAGGAACAATGAAAAACAGATCAAGTATGTCCAGAAATGAAAACCATGCAAGATAACAGTGTTCTATAACCACCAGCAGGAGAATTTTATTCTTTCATACTTTGTTTGCTGGCATTCTAGTGGCATCTAATTCGGTATAATGAAGAACAAAATGCCGGACTGTATTTGATTTGATATTTAAATGAGTGCTGATTTAAAGCTTTAATCTCTAGAATAGCATGTTATTGCTGGATTTTTTTCCCCAAGTAATTTTAAGTTTTCCTTTTTTCCCAACACCATAGGAAAACACGACATGTGAATATATTACTTTTCATGGGTTATTCAACAAAGCCACAGCTGGCTATAGTTACGCAGTGGTGTGAAGGGTCGAGTCTTTATCACCATCTACACATCATTGAAACTAAATTTGAAATGATCAAGCTGATTGATATAGCACGCCAGACAGCACAAGGAATGGAGTAAGTTGGGTATCATTTGCTGAGCAATATGGAGAAGTAAACCTGAATTAGTTCTCTATACTGAAATAATTCATAGGAAGTTTCAACTAGTGGAGATTATGTTTGTTCAAGATGATATTAAAAAAATCAAATATATTGATTTTTCAAATTATTGCTGACTTAAGGAAACTGATCTATAAATATAGAACACAAACACAAGTGCTTGAGACTTTTAATCTGTGCAATACATTGATTAAGTTTTGCTAGATGGTCAGAGACCAAATAGATGATAAATAAAAATTCATACAACATGACAGATATATAGAAACAACTAAAACTATAAATTTTATCTTTTAGCGAAAATTGCTGTGACCTGTCAAATAGCTTATACAGGGATTAATGAAATTTAAAAATAGGCAAGAATAGAACAGAGTCTAAACTTAATTCATTGTTAAACATACCAAATGATTGCTAATGGCAATAGCAATTTAAATCCTAATTTCACAAGCTAAAAGGAGTATTAGTTAGGTGGAAGTGTTTATATGGCAACCTTTTCTAATTTCATCCAAGTTGTAGGCTCTTCCTTCCAAAAGGAGTTTGTAGAAAGAACACAAAATATATTCATGGTAAATATACATAGGATTACAATCCAAGAGTCTAAAATTGTGAGGAGTGGAAGTTGATGATTGCTGTAACAAATTATCTTTCTTACGACTTAATTTCACCTGGCTTTTTGATGATTCCTTAAGTAAGTGGCATGATCAATTCACTGCCTGTTTTGTTACTTTGCAGTTACTTGCATGCCAAGTCTATCATCCACAGAGACCTCAAGAGTAATAGTATCCTTTAAAAACACTAACTTTTATCATTCACCTTCCTTTTTTCAAAGTGAGTAAAAAAAGAAGGGAAAAAGTAATAGTTGGGAACAGTTGAGGATGCATATGTAAATATTGGAGTAGTTACTTGTCTCAATTTAATCTTAATTATTAAAGAAAGCAAATATATATTCTGTGCCTAACTAATTACTGTACATCTGAATATGTTTGGAGATGGGCATCCAGATTCATATGTCTTGGGAACAATGTGAATAGCATATCCATTCTAAGTCAACTTTTGATTCATTCCTGTGATTCCAAATCCAACAGTCAATGTGTTGATTTCTTTTGATGAACTTCAGTGCATAGTGTCATAGGACTTGAATGCAGAAGGGCAAAGTACATCAGCGTGCTTCATGCCAGTATATTTCATTATATAAAATCAACTATCTCTCATACAAATATATATGAAACTTTCAGAAGCTTTGGACTCTCAGCGTCTGCATGGACATCCATTTTGTAACCACCTTGCTTTAACTTATCATTACTAAACTAAACCATTTAGTTTCATTGGTAACAATATTGAAGTGGTTTGTTGTTATCTTCTTTCAGAATGGCTTTTATTTTTCATTTTCTCTATAAAACTTCAATTCCTGGTGGCCTCCCATCTAACCGCCAGACAAATCAGATCCTGCTTAGTTTTTTTTTTTCCTTTACATTTCCTGTCAGATATATTTCTTCATGAAGACCTCACAGTAAAAATAGGCGATTTTGGTCTAGCAACAGTGAAGTCACGATGGAGTGGATCCCACCAATTTGAACAATTGTCTGGATCAATTCTATGGATGGTATGTGAAGGGAGTATTTTCCAAATTGTTCACCAAAATTGCACAATTCCTTTTGCAGAGAAAGGAACATTTCCAATGACTTTAGGATGGAGATAAATGCTTGGCTTTGCTAAGCAGAAGCCTTTCTAATGTGTAGTAGAATAGAATGGTGGAATGGTGGAAACCTTTTGCTGTCTACCCAGGACTTTCTCCTCTTACTGAACGTCTCAGTGCAATCACTGCCCAAAGTTGTCTTACATTTTTTTCCATAATATCAATACTCTTAATATCAATGAAGGGCTATCAACTACTATAAAGGTCATGACTGTATTGCATACAATTTGACCAACTCAGTATCTGGTTAGAAATTACTTAATTTCTACTAAGCAGAGGATAAATATGTAGGTTTTATTTATCCTTTTATTTATCTTTTTAGATACTAATTTCATTTTTGGGGATCTGAGATATATAGATAAAGTCTGCAATTGCAATAGAATAAAGCAGTTGTTTTCTATGTCACAGGCACCTGAGGTTATTAGGATGCAAGACAAAAATCCATATAGCTTTCAATCAGATGTGTATGCATTTGGAATTGTCCTTTATGAACTGATGACTGGGCAATTGCCATATTCCAACATCAACAATAGAGACCAGGTAAGTTGGGATTGGGAAAGTGTTATTTCTAAATTATCGGAAGTCCTTGACTTATGACCACAGTTAGAATCAGAATTTCTGTTGCTAAGCAAGTTGGTTGTTTAGAGAATACGCACAGTTTTATAACCTTTTTTTGGCATAGTTGTTAAGTGCAGTTATTAAGTGAATCATATGATCATTAAGCAAATCCAGTTTCACTCATTAACTTTGTTTGTTAGAAGCCACCTGGGAAGGTTGCAAATGATGATTACATGACCCCAGGATATATGCTGGTTGTTGAGCACCTGAATTTTCATTACATGACTGGGGGGATGCTGCAACAGTATAAGTGTGAGGATGGGCCATAAGTTTTTTTTTTCAGTGCTGTTGTAACTTTGAATAGTCACTAAAGAAATGGTTGTAAATTGAGGACTACCAGTACCCATCCTTTCATATTGTAGTACTGGTACTGACAGATTATTTCAGCCTTTGTAATGTTGTCTTTTACACATTTCACTACTTTCAGTTTGGGGTAGACTGGTATGTTAGGTGACTTAAATATCTATATTCAGAGAACAGTGTGTCTTTTGTACAAAATAATGTGATAAATTGTAATTATTTGACAGGTCTTCCAAATCTTCAGTGCAGATTTGCTTTCTTCATTTGAGAATCAGCAGTATAATCGTGTAACTTGTTATCTGAGTTATTCAGACAGATACAGATTTCAAGATTACTTGAAGAAAATGGAATCGTTTTTAAATATGCTGGGAAAAGGACAAGAGATGAATAACTAAGGCAACTTTGTTATCCTGTTAGCAAAAAATCCCCAACCGGTACCTTCTAGATATGTTAGCCAAAATCTCAGTATTTTTAACTAGAGTTTGGTACCCAGTTGCAGAAAGCTGATCTAGAAAAGTAATATTAATTTTTAATATATTTTTGCCTTAAGTTTAAGATCTTGGTTCTTGGGATACTTGAGTCATCTTGAGGTCTAGGGTTTCAGAATTGTATATTTCTTTTCTTTGAGCGTATAAGTGAACAACAACATCTCCTAATTTAATGAACAGAGCAATTAATTCAGTGTGCCACAAGAGGGAAAAGTGGCTTATTGTAATAGTAGAAACTTTCATCCTATACCAAATGATGGTCTTTAAAATTGGGAAGATTTCCAAAACAATTAGCAAGGTTGGGCATGCTCCTGCTTTTTAAACAAGAGCTTGAAAGTCATGTCTGTGTGCTCAAGTTAGGTTTTGCTTTAAATAAATGTGAATCCCAGTGTTGTTGAAATATAGTACAGTGTATTTCTTTTGTGTAATAGTATCAAGTAGGCACCTAATTTGTAAATGCAGAAACAATAATTTTGAGACTTAGTTTGGTAATTTTTTTCTGAGTACTGTAGTGAATTGTGGTGGGTATTGACTGCCTAAATGGTCCTTCCTGTTTCAATTATTGTACTTGCTGTAGATAAGGCATAGATCAATTTGATGTCTATCATTGCTTCTTTAGAATTATTGAGATCTTGGACTTATTGAGATTTGTATTTAATACAAATGCCACTTTGGGAATTATATGCAATGGATGCAAAACTAAAACTGACGGACATGTTACATATCCTGTCAGCCTTTTACCTTCCAGTGTGTAAAAGAATTAAATTGGTTCTATTAAATTTTTGAAATATGCCTAAAAGTTTTACATATGTGCAGCACTTGCATTCAGTGTCTGAAAAGTGCTTTGCTATATGTAGCAATACAAACTTCCCAGGAAAAGATGCAATTGTTTTAAGATGTCGCAGTCAGGTGCCAAACTCACAGTCCCATGCATCCTGAAGCCCTTTTTGGGGAGATTTAAATTCAAAGCACTGCACAACCATATTTAAAAATCACAATAGATGAAATTTACTTTTCCCTTTTTCACTCTCTCTTTCTGCAAAGATTATATTTATGGTGGGACGAGGGTATCTTTCTCCGGATCTCAGCAAAGTGCGAAGCAATTGTCCCAAAGCCATGAAGAGACTAATGGCAGAATGCCTGAAAAAAAAGAGAGATGAAAGGCCTCTCTTCCCCCAGGTAAGAATTTCTCATGTTTGGATTAGCATCTAGCAACCGTAGCACAAGAGCACTACAAGAACAAGTTGGCAATGCAGCCAGATGCCACCCAGTTAGGTTGGCCTGTTAGAAGATAATAGCAGGCACACATTATCTAGACTTTCTATTCAACTGAAATGTCAACCTCATAGCCATTTTGTATATGATAATATTGATAGGAGAACCTTCACACTTACATCCTAGAGCAGGGGTGTCAAACTGCTGGCCCGCAGGCCGGTTGCATCCTATGGAGGCCGTGCCCACTCCAGCTCCAGCAATGCAAAAAAAGTCACGATACGTCGTGACAGGTCACGTGACACGGCAAGGTTTATTTTTATTTATTTATTTATTTTTCATAATTTATATGCCGCCCTTCTCCCCACGGGACTCAGGGCGGCTCACAGCATATTAAAATAACACAATACAAACAACACACACAACATTTCCCCTATAAAAGCCAATTAAAACCAAATATTTGTAGCTGTGACATTATTAAAATCATTAAAAATTATCCCTATTTAAAATT